CAGAAATCCTCATCTCCCCCGTGAAGTTACCTTATCATGAAATCTCCTATTTGTGAATTCTCATTTCTCTAATGGATTCATTTCATCGAAAGTACTTATTCACATATTCTCTCTTTTCCCATTAGATCTCAATCCTGGATGTTGATAAGTGTTACTTCCCCAAAAGAGTATTCTATTATGGTTGCTAGCCCCAGGATAGAGCGTCATAGCAGAATTTTGTTCTGGTTTAAGCACATCCTTATTCCCTAGTGGAGCTGGAAGATTCACGTATTTTCAATAGTAGCATATTTGGTTGAGTTTCTCATACAAATAATATCACATTCCCGACAAGGGTTATGTTTGTGAGGTCTCTTACCCCAACACAAATCTTCATATCCTTGGAAGTATAAGGTTTCATTCTCCCCAGTGAGAAATTGACAAGTTATCAAACAAAAAGTCGGGTGAATTTTAATTTCTCACAGGCCCCACTTTGTCGATGTTTTCTCCAGCAATGTCAAGTATCCACTTGGCATTTCCTCGCAGATGTTACAGTTTTGATCTGATCTTCTCTAGCGGAATTTGCAATTTATTTTTGCAAGTTTTATCAAGGTTTGCCCTGTGGTTATTGGTTTTTTTTTGTTTCGCCAATCTGGGGCAGTCATGTTAAGGATCAATCTCTCAAAGTTCTGCTACTCTAGGAAAGCATATCAATGATGGTACGGATCCCATGAAATCCTCTCAAGGAATTTTCATTCACTATGTAAGTTTCAACTTGACAGCTCCCATGCAAGACTCTTACCTCTAACTTTTGAACTTTGGAATAGGGAATTCCCCACAGAGTTATTTCTCCCCAGCATTGTCATATGAGGGATTCTTGAGGCGTATAAGGTTTTTGGATACCTTCATTCCCCAACCAAGTCTTGATGAGCACTATCTCGTTTCTTAATAAAGACTATTCCCAGTGGAGTTTATCTTCCGATTTGAATTATCATTGAAGTTTGCATTCAGAAATTCTCACTCTCCCATCTGAGCTGTGACTTGGAGCATTTCTTTATCAAAAGAATCTTTTATCATCCCCAACAGGGTTGATATTGGCTGAGATTTCCATATCCCCAATAATGTTAATATTGTTTGACTATCTTCATGGTCTATTTTATGGTTGCATATCGAAGGTTCTGGAATCCCCCAACAAAATACTCCCCGACAGAGTTTTGTATCCTCGTGGTGTTTTGTTTCCTCAACAGAGTTTTGTTGCCCAAAAATATTTTTCAAGAGAAAGGCTTCATTCCGAGACTTCAAGTTTAAAGATGTCTCATGTCCCTAGTGGAGTTGCTTAGATGAGAATTCAAAGTCTAAGGAAGTTTCAATTCCCTAACAGGAGTTACCAATCAGAGATTCGTCGTCTTGATCTCTCATTTCCCAGCTAATTTGTTGCTTGGGGAATCCTTATTTAAGGATCTTTCCTTATCCCCAGTATAGTTGATGCTGGTCGATTAATTGAGATTTTGTTAATCTTCGGCAATCAGTAAAGGATTTTCCAACGGAAATTTCCCCGGTAGGTTTGGCCATTTTTGAAGAGTATCGTCAATCTCCATCAGTATGGTTATGACTATATTTACTGTTTGAGGATTTGTGTACCCCCAACAATAATATTTTTGGTTGAGTTTTCTTATCGAAGAATATCTCATCCCCGATAAGGTTGGCCTTGACAGAGTTTATTTGTTTCCCCAGTGATGTTTTCACTTCTCACGTCTGGTTTGTTATCTTGGTATCATCTTCAACACGGTTGCACGCCATCTTTTCTAGAGATTATTGTTTTTCCATGATCTTCTCCAGTAAGAGCAGATTTTCTATTTGGCATTCTCCTTCAGAAGCTACAGTCTTGCCCTGATCTTCTCCCACAACGCCCAATCTTCATTTGGCATTCCTTCTTGAAGTTGATAAGTCTTGATCTGATCTTCTCCAGTAGAGTTCTCAATTTATTTTTGCAACTCCTCTCAGTGTTTTTAGCCCGTTTCTATTGGTTACTCAGTTTTTTATCCCCCCACAGAGTTTCATCTCCTTAAGGGTTTCTTTCAAGCGATTCCTTTTATTTATTCTTCTCCAGCAGATTTTTGCGAGTCCTGTCAAGTTTTGACCTATTGGTTGTTGGCTTCTCGATTGGCCAATTCCCCAGTAAAACATCTAAACATGCATCATTACATTGCATCTACCAAAATGTGTAGCATTTCCATTATATGGAGCATTACACTATAAAAGATAATTCAAACATGCATCAGAACATAAGCCATTACTGTTTCTGTTTTCCCCAGTGAATTTGATAAAAAATTAGGATTATATCCCCAGCGAGATCTTCATCCTCAGTATCTCAGTTTCACCCTATACAAATATCCTTTTGATGTTAATCATTTGAATGGTTGAATGTCTACTCTTGATTATGGTTCAGTTTTGCTCTGGCATAGTTTTCTCGGGTTTAGTCTTTACTACCCTTGTTAGTTCATCCCAATGTTTATTTATGTACCTTTCGAATACCAGTTTCGTCCTAATATTCATTTTCAGTAGGTTTTTAGTAGTATGCCCTAATCGCCTTGCTTTGGGTCGAGTTTTGCATTTCGTCTCCTCACCCGCGCATGAAATCTAGTTTTTATTCTTGTACTCATCTAGCTTAGTTTTGTCTAACTAGTTATAATGATTCGAGTGTCATCTTGTTTTGTTTTATGCCTTGGACTTCCGTCAATGTTTGATTACTGAATCCTTTATCTGTTTTTGCTTACTGAGTCTCTTTGCAGTGTTCGTAACTGCGTCCCTGGTTGAAATTAGTCTCCTTTGTTCCTTGGATTCTTCTATCAGTTTTGGTTTACTGTTTATCTATTGATCTGAGACTAGAAAGTACTCTGAGAAACATGCGCTCTCATCAGTTTACTTTAGGTCGAGTTTTGATCTCGTCGCCTGTGCATGAAATCCAACTTTTGTTCTGGTACTCATCTAGTTTAGTTTTGTCTAACTAGTCATAATGAGTCGAGTTTTGTCTCGTTTTGTTTCTTACTCCTGGGATTCTATCAGTTTCTTCATACTGTCTATCTTGGGTTGAAACATGTCTTTTTATAATTTTTGGGATCTTTCAGTTCCATCTCACTATCTTACCTTGGTTAGAGACCAGCAGGTGCTCTAAGAAACATGCACTCTCATCGCTTTTGCTATGGGTCGAGTTTTTCCTCATTACCCGTGCGTGAAATCCCGTTTTCGTTCTGGTACTCATCTAGTTTAGTTTTGTCTAACTAGTTTTAATGAGTCGAGTTTTGTCTTGTTTTGTTTCTTACTCTTGGGATTCTTTTAGTTCCTTTAAACTGTATATCTTGGGTTGAAACGTGTCTCTTTTATAACTTTTGGGATCTTTCAGTTCCATCTCATTGTCTTCCCTTGGTTTGAGACTAGCAGGTGCTTCTAGAATCAAGCGCTCTGGCCACTCTTCCCCGCGTACTTTTCAAGAGTTTAGTTTTTCCTGTTCTCTGTGGTTTGAGTCTTATCTCACCCCCTTTTTGTGGTCTGGTTTTATCCTGACACTTTGTTCGGAAGTTTAGTTTCATCTAAATCTTCTAAATCTTGCGTATGCTGGGATTGTTTATCTTTTGGGGGTTCTGCTTCTTTTTCAAGAGTGTAAATTTTCGGGTTCTTTTGTATTTAATCATCTTCAACTCTAAACGCCCGAGAGTTGTGACTTTTCTCACTTATCATGTTAAAGATAATTGAATAGGGGCAGCTGTTGCACCCCAAAATTTACCCTCTTGATTTCATAATTTTTTATGGCTTATGTTTCATCATACATATTCATGCATTGTGACGGGGTCAAGGTATTCTTATCTTTCTGGTTTTCTTCAATATGTGAAAGTGGTTGCATTGACAGTCAGTTCAAGATGGCTCTCATATCCTCATTATTTTGATCATTCAGGCTACCAAGACTTCTTATACTTCAGGACACTTCTTTTGACTCTTTGTTTTATCAAAGGGTTAAAAAGTTGTTAGGGTTTTCAGTTTGGTGCTATGTTTTTCAGTTGAGAAGATCACAAACTTTGTCTTTGATGTCAAGTTACTTCTTCGTCCAATATACCTCCTAAGGGTCGTGATATGGCCGCCTATCATGGATCTTTTCTCCTCAAAGGGCATTGCTTCTCCTTGTTAGGATTTCATTTGTTTGAGATATAAAGGGTGAGCCATAATGGGTTGAGCTTAAATATTCTTCATGCTAAATATTTCATTCCTCCTAGTATTTGTTGCTTGACACACAAGTATTGGTTTAGATTGAAATTTGAATTGAGATAAGGATCCATGGAGAGGTTGAAGACTTAATTCGGAAAAAAATATTCTCGCAAGTTTGTTAAGGTGTAAGCATCATATGAATTACTTGTAATAATAGTTATTGGGAGTGAAAGGCACACACTTTGGTTAGAAGTTTATCCAAATAAGCTTATTTTCAAAATTTCATCAAGAATATTAATTTAAGTGTTGATTTGAATTCCATTCAAGTAATTATCCATTATTCAAGTTCATACCAAAGATGAAAGTTTCGATCTTATTCATTCAGATTCCATTCAAATTATTGGCTAATCCAAGTTTCAAGAAAACAACTTTCATTCAAGTTCTATATCAAATGTTGAAGTTACAAGTTTATTACAAAGTTTTCTTTGGTTTTACAATTACTACAAAGGTTCATGAGCCTAAAATTACAACACCAATGTCAAGTTTTACAGAAAAAATCAAAGAGTTATAAACCTACTCTAAGTTCCTATTGAGATTTTATTAATTTCAAATGGTTCACTTCTTCAAATTTCCCTCCAAGAACTCTTTGATGGCAGCCACAGAATCCTTGCATTCATTGCCTCTTAAACTCACATGAAACAAGAATAAGAGAATGGTTAGAAAATAATCAACACTTAAACAAGAGAATAAGAAGCTTTCAAAGAGGTTTTCAAGACTCATTATGAGGGTTCGTGCAAGTAATCAGTTTATTAGGGAATTTGATCATGTGCCAAACCCAAGAAGCCTCATACAAAATCAGATTTAATCATACACCTAGGTCTATTTCAAATCACAATAAAGATGGTTCACAAAAGACCAAAAATAAAAAAAGAGAGATCCAAAACTCAACAACAATATTAGTTTTCAAGCAAGCAATCACAGGCCTCTTTCCTGTACTACAAATCACAAAAAAAAAAGGAATTTGGTTCACAGTAAGAGGATGCAATTCACTACTCAGTGCAACTCATTTTCACATCACAGTTCTGTCAAAACAGAACACAAATAGAATCACATAAGTCCAACCCAACAACAAAAGTTCTCACAACAAAAATTACAGCATATCGGTAAAGAAATGAAATGATGACATCTCAGATAATAAAAACAAACAGAAAGTTAGAAGCCCAAAACATAAGCGAATTCTCACAGGCCTGTTATCAGCTCAGAACAAACCAAAAACCCTAAAAATTCACCATCATCTTACCTTGCACAATCCCTTCAGAATACATAGAAAGAGAAGAGGAAAAGGAGCTTTCAAAAAATTCAGAATAAGAAATATATTACCGGGAAGAGCCTCAGCTATTGGCATCCTGTCGCAAGCATGATAAACCCACAACTTCATTACAGTTATGTCCTCCTCATCATCAAAAATATGCTGAACTATCATTGAAACTTGGAGCTGAACCGAAAAAGCAAAGCTAGAAGCCATCCTTAGCAAGGGTCTGACATTCAGTCTGTATGCAGCATTACTTGGTGTGACGTCAAGATCCGCAAGGGTTGTCTCCACACTCTTTTTATGTTCCCCAACAACTTGGCTATATATCTTGTAAGGCGTCCCCAACACAAACCGACAGCCTGCATATTTAAATTTAAAAAAATAGTAGAGAAAATTAGAGGTAGAGGTGTAAACTGTGCCAAATATGCCAGCTCATCATTTTGAATAAAATAAAAATAGAAAGAAAATTAGACGTTAGGAGGAATTTGCAAAAGGAGATTAAATCAGAAAATATATTGAAACTTAAATAGCTCAGCAATTTACCCAAGGCTTCTCAAGAGAAGTTTCACAAACTCAATCCTCACCATTTAATTTCTATAATCGAAAATCAAAATGAACAGCCAAGATTGAATCAAGTTATAACTAACTTCTATTGATAACAAAAATATAAAAAGTGAAATCACCTTGAATCAGGATTCTTCTTCAATCATTGGTGAATAACAGAAAATTCCCAGAAGAATCATAACAAGAAAACTCTCTCATCTCTTGGCTTTTACTCTCTAAATTCTGGTGGAGTTGCTCTTCAACCTCCCCCCTGCAATCACCATTCTTCACCCTCTACAATCTTCATCTTTACACGCTCCTTCTCTCTCTCAATATCCCTTCTACAATCTTCATTATCTTCACATCTACAAATTGTGATATCTCCGCCTCATTCTATAACCAAAAACTCAATAAACAGCAGCTTCACAACCAATTCAACAACAACGTTTCATCACCTCCAACCTTTCTCTTTGCTCTCCCTCTGAGCTAAATCTTCATCCATGCTACTATATCTTCATCAACCTACATTTGTCTTCAATGGAGCATCACACTTCGTTTTCTGCCAATTCAATGTGAATCGACGGTTTCTTTAACCTTCATTACCTTCACATCTTCGGCGTCCACAAATGACATACAACAACCACATAGACTGCATCATCTAGCCACACTGCAAGAACCATAACAACATCACCAGTAATCACGCGATAAACGGAATCAGAGAAGTAGAAAATGTTTAGTTAATCGAAAACGAGACGTACATGAGTTTTGTTCCTCTGACCTGTTTTCCCTAATCTTTGATATTCAGAGAAGAAGAGACAAATGAGAATGTGATGACGAGTTAAAATGGAATTGAGACGAGATTGATTTCGTCGGTGATGCAAGCGGTGAATCAAACAATTCAAACAAAGACAGAAGCGGAATCGGGACGCTATTGTCCAAGAAGATAAGAGTTGAGACAAAAGTTGTAAGACGTGATCGGACGGAGTTGATCGAAAGCGACGGTGGTGCAGTGGGTGATTTGGATCGGAGAACGAAATTAAACCTCAGTTTACGCCGTTTGCAACAAAAGAGAGAAGAAACTCAGACGTCGTAATTCTTTACCCTAATTCCTTTTCATTTCTTTCTTTTATTCTTTTTTTATAATTTTATTTGTTTCTTAATATAGGATGAACAAAATTTGAATCATGCATAAAGTTGAACCTACATGAAGTTGCACCGCTGGACCGTACCACATTCCCTCTTGGCCTGGTTTACACTTTTGTTGGAGAACAAAAGTTAGATTGGATATTGTTGTGGTTTGGGTTGAGTCTCTCCTAAGCCCAGGGACGATTTTTTGGCGGCAGCCTATTGCTTTGAACCAAAAAAGAGTATTTGGACCGTATCCTGATGGGCCTAGTGCCCAGAGTACTTTATCACACTCATGCATTTAGTTTGCACCCCTGGACTTGTTTTTTTATTTGCAATTTCTTTTGAATAATTTTGGTTAAATGTTTAGACTTGTTTGAATTTTCTTCACATGATAAAAATAATAAAATCAAATATAAAAATTGGTTAGACTTTTTTTATTTTATTTTTTATTTTGGGAATTAAATTGGGATTATTCGATTACTTGAGATTTGTAATTCACCTTTGCTTATTGAGATCTGAGTTTTATGTAGGTTTATCGTGTGATATGCGAATGTGCTTGAGATCTCGATTGTGATTTATTTTCACATAGATGATGCTTCGACACTTATTCTAAGCATTTGATTTCTGACTCTTTGCCTTGATTGGTGAGGCTACCGTGAAGATCGTCGGGTTTCTTTGCTTTGATACGCTTTGCTACAGATTAATATTAGTTTGATATTTTCCCTTGTTTATCTCATTTCAGCATTTACCGCTATCTAGAGATCATGTATAGTAGGGAAGTTTATTGCTTTCTAGAAACCATGTGAAGTAGGAGGCAGGAAATGAAGAGTGTGTGCTCGAAGTCGCTGTTTAAAGTCCTGTAGCAGGCACTGTTTTCTATATGCTATATGTGTTTGTTTAAAATCCTACCTTTGAAGTAGGTATTCTGCACGTGTGTTTACATTTGTTCCTGCATTATATTACAAATGATAAGTACTCAAAAGGAGACGAGCAGGGAGGGTCCATAATCGACCCCCTCACATTCTACTCCGTGCCATCCTTAGCTCACGTGGTATGTTGATGATTTGGAGTTGTGCAGATCATATGTATCGAGTCCGTCAAGTGGGGAAAGGTTTTGAAATAAAACCCCCATGCTCTCAGGAGTTCGCATTGGTCGATGCTAACACTTCATGATCGTTCTTATTGTCTTATGTCGCCTACATCGTTCTTCTATATCTTGGTTAGGTGCTCAATCGCTTTGGACGTCACAAATTTTTTTATTTCATCCGTCTCCCGCTTGTTTGCTTTGGGTGATCCGCTCCCCTTTGCTAAAGCATTTTCTCTTCATACACCCATCCCCTGAGATAGTATACCCTATTGTGTGCTTTTTCTAAAGCACTTGTTTGCTCACTTCTTTGGTATTTACCATGCCCCTTAGGACTGCTCGTTTAGGATAATCCTCGAGCTAGACATTAGGATATTTATCCATGTATGCTCACTTAGGTAGATATTCCTCTTTCATCCTCGACATAGGGTCATCATTGTATGATTACACTAAGGCTAGAGAATAGGATATTCTCCCTTAGTTGTTTTCTTTTCTTTGCATATTGCATCTTAAAACTAAACATTCTTCTTGGAAAATCATAAAATATATCTAATAAACTTAAATCCTTCTTCAAGGTAAACAATACAAACTAATTTTAATTGTTTGTGCGCCTTTTGGCTTTGTTTTAAACCTTGTCAAAGTGATTATTTGCCATCTTTGCCATGAAATTTTGTTATCTTTTTGTCAATGTTTCGTCATCGCATGTGTTTTTTATCCTACTTTGATTCTCAATATCATTGTTAGGTGTGATGTTTTATCATTTGAATTGTTGATGTCTCGCCATCTTTGTTATGTTATCTTGCTATCTTTTTGCCGATGTTTCGCTATCGCATATGTTTGTTATCCTACTTTGATTCTCAATATCATTGTTAGGTGTGATATTTTATCATCTGAATTGTTGATGTCTCTCCATCTTTGTTATGTTATCTTGCTATCTTTTTTCCGATGTTTCATCATCGCATATGTCTGTTATCCTACTTTGATTCTCAATATCATTGTTAGGTGTGATATTTTATCATCTGAATTGTTGCTGTCTCACCATCTTTGCCATGTTATCTTGTTATCTTTTTGCCGATGTGTCGCCATCGCATATGTTTGTTATCCTACTTTGATTTTCGATATCATTGTTAGGTGTAATGTTTTATCCTCTTGTCTGATATTTTGTTATCATGATGACATTTTTATCATCTTACATGAGTTTGTATTGCCATGTGATGTCTTTTCGTCCTTGTTTTGATGTTTTATCATTGTTGCTGATGTTTTATCATTTTATCTGATGTTTTGCCATCTTGATTATCGCTTTTGTATTTTTAACTAAAAAACATAAACCAACCAAAATATTTAAGCCGGACTACGGCTGCTCTGATTCCTTAAAAGGGATATGTAGGCATTGGGGTAGGGCCCGAACAAGCACAAGTTTTTATTTTCCCTACATTATTTTCTATTTTCTTTTGCATGAATCCCCTCTTTGCATTTTCTTTTAGCTCTTAAGCTTTAGACATATATTTTATACACCCTTATATTAGAACAACAAGAGTGGATACCATAGAGTACTACGGGCGTGTGGGGTGCTAATACCTTCCCCTCATGTAATAGACTCCCTTACCCGGTCTCTCGGTTATAATACCGTGATTTCACCCCTTCAGGTTTACTCGATTTTTACCTTTCCCTTTCGCATGGGATAAAAAATGTTCGGTGGCAACTTCATTGATTTCATATCGGATGACAGTTTGGCCGGTTGTTTTAATAAGTGGCCATGGAAACCAAATACGATTAAAAATTTGATCGAAGAGTCATTCTCGAGAGAATCACCATGATTACTGACACTCTTGAGTCGTCGAGCTACCGACGTTAAAAGAAGAGTTGCGTGGGAGGCAACCCACGAGTTTCAATATAATGTTTTTGCTTATGTTTAAGTTTGTAGAAAATAAAGATATCGACCGCTTGGCACCTATAAGTTTCATATAGGCAACTATCGAGGCGAGTATTTATTAGGTTCTTATTCATTTTCCCACTATTTACTGAAACATTGAGGACAATGTTTAGTTTAAGTGTGGGGGAGGAACTTTACCGCTTTCCATTTATCGCTTCTTATTTTGATTTATTGTTTTTTATTTTATTTCATGTCTTTAAGATTTTATCTATTTCCAATATTTGGTCGATTCATTGCATGTGATATCAAGTGTGTATGCTTGTTTTTCAATTGTTACTGAATTTCCCCGAATTTTAAATTTTTTGACCTCCAACAATAATTATCTTGTTGCTGCATGGCACACACTCTAAAAGTATACAGGTTGTCACACTTTAGGTTGTGTTAGAGAGACTTAGGAAAAAATTGATAAAATTGATACCGTTATGACACCCTAAACTACCTCATTATGTGATATCAATTTGGGTATCCATTATACTGAGACCATAGGCTCAAGTTTTTAAAGTAGCTCTTAAGTAGTTTATATTAGCAGTCAACACAATCTTAAACACAAACTATGTAGGGATTCGATGAATATAAGTGAATGATCCCAAAAATTCTAAATAATTATTTTCCATTATAAATTTAAAATAGGGAATGCACCTATTAAGTTAGGTG